GATCATGCAGTATTTGTCTTTCTGTGCTTGGCTTATTTCACTTAGCATAATGTCCTCCAGGTTCATCCATGTTGTCACAAATGACAGAATTTGCTTTTTAAAAAAAGGCTCAATAGTATTCTACTGTGTACTTGTATACTACATTTTCTGCATTCATCTATTGATGCACACTTAGATCGATCCCAAATCTTGACTATTGTGAATAGTGTCACAGTGAATGTGGGAGTGTAAATATCTCTTTGGCATATTGATTTCAGATCCTTTGGATATATACCCAAAAATGGGATTGCTGGACCACATAACCTAGTTTTTTATGAAACTACATACTTTTTTCCATAATGGCTGTATTAATCTACATTCCCACCAATAGTGTAAAAAAGTTATCTTTTCTCCACATCTTCACCAACACTTGTTATTGTTCATCTTTTTTATAATAGGCATCCTAACAGGTATGAGGTGATATCTCATTGTGGTGTTAGTTTGCATTGTTTGGATGATTAGTGATATTGAACATGTTTTCATGTACCTTTTAGCCATTTGTGTGTCTTCTTTAGAAAAATGTCTATTCAGATCCTTTCCCCATTTTTAATCAGGTTTTCTATTTGTTTTCTTGTTATCTAATTGTTTCAGTTCCTTATATATTTTTTATATTAACCCCTTATCAGATATGTGGCTTACAAATATCTTCTCCCATAATGTAAGTTATTTCTTCACTCTGTGGATTATATTTCCTTTGCTGTGTAGAAGCTTTTTAACTTGATATAATCCTATTGTCTATTTTTACTTGAGTTTCCTGTGCTTTTGGAGTCATATCCCAAAAATTATTGCCCAGACCAATGTCATGGAGCTTTTCCCCTGTATTTTATCTAGTACTGTTATAGTGTCAAGTCTTATGTTTAGATCTTTATTATGAACTGATTTTTTTTAATGTGGTGTGAGATGAGGATCTTGTTTCATTCTTCTGCATGTGGATACCTAGTTTTATTAACACCATTTATTGAATAAACTGTCCTTTCCCCATCCATTAGCTTTGGTTGGTGTTATGATGTTAACTGTGGAATTTTCATATAGTCCTTACTGTGTTGAGGAACATTCCTTCTATAACATAATCTGTTGAGAGTTTTTTGTGATAGGACGTTGAATTTTGTCAAATACATTTTCTGCATGTAATCTGGTATATCACATTTATTAATTTGCATATGTTGAAACATTCTTTCATCCCAGGGATAAATCCCAATTGATCATGGTGAATTATCCCTTTAATGTATTGTTAGATTTGATTTGCTAATATTTTGTTGAGGATTTTGCATCTACATTCATCAGTATATTAGGCTGTAATTTTCTTTTCTTATAGTGTCCTTGTCTGGCTTTGATACCAGGATAATGCTGGCCTTGTAAAATGAGTTTGGAAGTGTTTCCTCCTCTTCAATTTTTTGGAAAAGTTTGGGATGGATTGGTATTAGTCTTCTTTAACTGGCTGAAAGAATTCAGCCATGAATCCATCTGACCCTGAACTTTCCTTTGATGGGAGATTTTTAAAATTATTATTACTAATTCAATCTCCTTACCTTTATTAGTTTATCCAGATATTCTATTTTCTCATGGTTTAGTCTTTGTAGGTTGTATCTTTCTAGACATTTATCTATTTCTTCTAGGTTACCAGTTTTGTGGTATATACTTGTTCATAGTAGTCTCATGATCTTTTGTATTTTTGTGGTATCAATCAGTTGTAATGTCTCCTCTTTCCTTACTGACTTTATTTATTTGAGTCTTACCTCTTTTTTTCTTAACCTAGCTAAAGGTTTGTCACTTTTGCCTATTTTTTTTTAAAGAAAACTTTGTTGTTTTTCTAATCTCAGCTTCATCTATTTCTATTCTGATCTTTGTGACTTTCTTCCTTCTGTTAGCTTTGGGCTTAATTTGTTGTTCTTTTTCTAGTTCCTTAAAGTGTAACTTTAGGTTTTTTTATTTGAGGCCTTTATTTATGTAGGTATTTATTACTATAAACATCTCTCAGAATTGATTTTGCTGAATGCCATAAGTTTTGGTATGTTGTGTTCTCATTTTCATTTGTCTGAACATTTTTTTTTTTGAGTCAGAATCTCACTTTGTCCCCCAGGCTGGAGTGCAGTGGCACACTCACAGCCACCCCCCAATGTTGACCTGTTGGGCTCTGGTGATCCTTCAGCCTCAGCCTTCCAAGTAACCAGAACGACAGGCGCACGCTACTACACCTGGCTAATTTTTGATTTATTGTAGAGAGGAGGTCTTGCCCCCAGCTTGTTCTTGAACCTGTGGGCTCAGGCAATCCTCTCACCTCAGCCTCCCAAAGTGCTGGGATTACAGGCTTAAGCCACCACACCCGGTCTGAAGATTTTTTTTTAAATTTTCCTTTTAATTTATTTGACCCACTGTTGTTCAGGAGCATATTATTTAATTTCTACATATTTATAAATTTGCTGCATTTGCTACTATTATTGATTTATAGTTTTATATTATTGTGGTAGAAAAAAATATTTGACATGATTTCAGTCCTCTCAAATTTGTCTTGATTTTGTGGCTTAACATATGATCTGTCCTGGTAAGTGTTCTATGTATGCTTTAGAAGAATGTATATTCTGTTGCTGCTGCATAGAATGTTCTATATATGTCTATTAGGTCTATTTGGTCTAAAGTGTAGTTCAAGTATGCCATGGTCTGAGTGGTGGTGTCCCACCAAAATTTGTATGTTGAAATTTCATCACAAATGTGATAGTGTTAAGAGAAAGAGCCTTTTGGGAAGTGATTAAGTCATGAGGGCTTATGAACAGGATTAGAGAGCCCTTATGAGTGGGCTTTGCTTCTTTACACTATGTGAGGACACAGCAACAAGACATCTGTGAGAAACACTGAATCTGCTGGTGCCTTGACCTTGGATCTCTCAGCCTCTAGAACTGTAAGAAATAAATATTTGTTGTTTACAAATACCTAGTCTGAGGTATTTTTTTATGCAGCCTGAACAGATGAAGACAAATCCAATGTTTCTTTTTTTATTTTCTGCCTGATCGATCTGTCCATTGTTGAAAGTGGAGTGTTGAAATCCCCTAATATTATTGTATTACAGTATATATCTTCCTTTAGATATCTTAATATTTCTTTTATATATGTAGATCTCCAATGTTGCATGCATATATATTGACAATTGTTATATCTTCTTGATGAATTGACCCCTTTGTTATTATATAATGACTTTCTTAGTATTGTTTTGATAGTTTGAGTTAACATTTGTTTTAACTGATAAAAAATAAAGCCACCCCTGTTCTCTTTTGGTTTTTATTTATATGGAATATTTTTTCCATCCCTTCACTTTTGATCTTGATGAATTGGCTCCTTTGTCATTATATAATGACCTTTTTTGTCTTTTTATATAGTTTGACTTAATGTCTATTTTTACTGAAATAAATATAGCTACCCCTGTTCTTTTTGTATGGAATATTTTTTCTCATTCCTTCACTTTCAATCTGTGTGCTTTATTAAAGGTGAAATGAGTCTCTCATAGGCAGCATATAGTTGGGTCTTTTAAAAAAAAATCCATTCAGCCATTCTATGTATTCTGATTGAGAAATTTAATTCATTTACATTTAAAGTAATTATTAATAGGAAATGATATAATACTACTATTTTGTTCATTGTTTTTTGTTGTTGTTGTTTTGCAGATCCTTTGTTCCTTTCTTCCTGTTTTTGTCTTTCTTTCTGATTAGATGATTTTCTGTAGTGGTATACTTTGACTTCTTACTCATGACATCTTATGTATACTTTAACACCTTACTGACAAGACTTTTTAGTTTAAGTGTACTAAGTTAAAGCACAGTAATCTATAAAATAGAGAGCCAAGTTCCCAGTCAAAGTTGAAGGTAAAACAATGCTTCTGAATTTCTTTCTGGGGTTTGAGATTTAAATTTGAACTTAGTACAGCCCTGTGGGTTCAGTGGGTTATGATAGATCTGAGTAGGGAGATACATGTGGTGGTGATGCTGTGGGAGATACATGGGGTGAGCTGAGGGGATGGAAGCCCCAGAGCTGTCCAGGACCAACTGGGATCTTCATATCCCAGCTTAGGTTCCCCAATCCTCTCAAACTGCTGACCACTGTGAAATAAGGGTGTTGGGAGAGACATCTTTAGGGCCTGACAGTGCTGACATCATAGTAACCCAGAAAAACTCAGTTCCTCACATTCAAATGAAAGGAGAGTGGGTCAGTCATGGTGAGTGTAATGGTCAGGTGTGTATGATGTATGGTATATGGTATGGTGTATGTATGTGTGCATGTGTTGTGTGGATGTGAACATAGTGTAGTGTGTGTCATGTGTGTGGTGAGTATGTGGTGTGCATGTGCTTACATGTATAAAGTGTGGTATGTGGTGCAGTATGTGGTATATTGTGTGGTATGTATATATGGTGTGTGAATGTGTGTGTGCTGTATGTATGTGTGCTGTATGTGGTGTATGGTGTATGTATGTGTGTGGTATTTAGGGTATATTATATGTGTGTATGTAAGGTGTTTAAAGTTGTTAGATGCTCCACAGATAGTGTTTTTGTCATCAGCACTCTTAGACCCCTGTAATCTTTCTTCTATTGTATTGCAAATACACATTGCCCACCAAGGATGTCACTTGTGATGAACAACCACAGCAGTGATTCCCAACCCTTCTGAAATTGTTGTGCTTGTCTATGGCCAGACCACCCTGAATGCACCTGATCTCTTCTGAAATTGTTGTGCCTACTCAATATCCCTACCCATCTTTGTCAGTTTGCAATAAAAGCAGATTAAATTAACTTTGTGTGTTTAGGGGAATTCCCAATGACCCTCATGAAGTGTGGAGACATTCCCCCCTTAGGTTTTCCCCTCTGCAACTAGGATTTGCTGGAAGAGAATGGCGGGCACTCAGCAGTCATACAGCAGGGGCTTCTGGTCCATCACTATGGAATGCTAACCAATCTATCTGCTGTTGTTCATTTCAGCCCCAGCTCCCAAAAGGCAAAAATGTGACCACTGGACCCCTTGCCCCCCTAATACCTATGCCTACCGGTTACTCAGTGGGGGTGGCAGAAACAAGTACGCCAAAATCTGCTTTGAGGATGAGCTGTAAGTACCAGTGTTTAGAAAGAAAACATGTCTGTCTACTGCTTCTTCCCTGTTCTCTGAGTTTGACCAAGTGGCAGGTCTGCCCACAAGACAGAACCACGTGTCCTTGGTCTCAGGCAAAAGACTGAGAGCATCTGAGGGGAAACAGGAAAGCCACACTGTGTTCACTGGGGCAGGACATTGATTCTGATGATTGTACGTGCCCTGTGGTAAGCTGTTTCATAGTTTCATTTAACAGCAGTTGAAACAAAGCTTAGTTCTATATTTTTTGCTTTACTTTGAGTATGTAAAGAATATGCCATTCAGAGTCATGGGACACCAATGTTCAGCTGACACAGTTTTTTCAGTTTTGTTTTATGACCCTCACCCTCATGGAATAAGCAGGTGTGCCTTCTCTCTCTAACCCACACTGTACATTTCTTCAATATTCTGGGGAAATAAGCATAGAATTGGTATTATTTATTTTTATATGTTTGATGTAATTCTTCAATGAAATTATCTGGGCATGGAGGTTTTTTGGTGAGATTTTTAACTACAGATCTTATGTATTTCATAAGTACTATTCAAGTCATCTGCTTCTTCTTGAGTGAGCCCCATTATTGTTTTGAGAGTCTCCTTGGTTTATAGGTGACAAGTGCCGCCACAGGCTATATTCAAGTTGTAGACCCTGAGATGCTGGTAGTGTGGCTCAGCTCAAGTCCAAAAGCCTCAAAACCAGGGAAGCCGACAGTATAACTCTCAGTTGGAGGCTGAAGACCTGAGACACCGGGGCGCTACTGGTGTAAGTCCTGGAGGCCAAAGGCCAAGAGCCTAGAGTTCTGATGTCCAAGGGCAGGAGAAGAAAGGTGTCCCAGCTCTCTGAGAGAGAGAGGCAAAAGGAGACTTAAATTGTCCCTTTAGAAGGAACTCACCCACCTCCACAGTAGCAAATCCACTCCTGCAGTAACGGTATTAAATCCATTCATAAGGGTAGAGCCCTCATAGCCTAATCACCTCTTAAAGGTCCTACCTCTTAATACCCTTACAATGGCAATTAAATTTTGCCATGAGTTTAGGAGGGGACAAACATTCAACTCATGGCAATGACCAGAGTCATATGAAATAGTTATTTTCCTTGTGGTTATGTTGCAGTTGGATTAATTTCAGTTTATTTTCAATCTTAAGTCTTTCTATTTTTCTTTGTATTTAATTTAATTTTTGAATATGTAATATATTTACATGATTCAGAAAACATGTGTCCAAAACAAAGTATCCTCACAGAAATCTTCTCTATACCCTCTACTTTTTCTCCCCACCTCTGTTCCCATTTTCATTAATTTTTTATTAGTTTTTAATTTATTCCTTCAGTATTTTTAAGGGGAATATATATATCTATATATACATTTAATACATACCTATGTATGTGTCTTATATACATCTATATATGCATGGATATGTGTGAGTATATATGAATATGTATATATGAATATATGTGCATACATGTATGTACTCATACAAGGGGGGACACCTAAAAAATACAGAATTATCATTTGGAGGGCAGGCCCCTTGTAGTACACTCAGAATTTGTTCCTCTGGATCAAACAGTCAACCAAAGTTTTTATCTGGAAGTTTTGAGAAAGTTGTGTCACAATTTGCAGAAGAAATATCTGAAGTTGTGACTAACAGGTGACTGGTTCTTCTACCATGACAATGTACCTGTTCACAGTGCACTGTGTTCAGCAGTTTTTGACCAAAAGCTCCATGCACTGATATGCAGTAATCCCTCATGCCCTAAAAATATTGTGACACAATAAACTGTTAAAATAAACTTGGGTGTTGGAGGAAGCATGGTTCTTAAAACAGCCTTTGCTTGCATCATTTCCTCTTTGCTAATAAATTGAGAACAACTATACGAATAACTTTGGTATAGTTTGGGGTAAAAAAAAAAAAGTAAAAATCCCTCATGTCCTACCCTCCCTATTCACTCAATCTCACCCCAAAATATTTTTTTCGTTTGTCTCTCCGATGAAAAAAGTCCCTAAAGGGAAATGTTTTGCTGATGTGGAAGAGGTGAAATAAAAAATGGCAGAAGCACTAAAAGGCATCCAAATTGATGAGGTTAGAAACTGTTTTGAGCAGTGGAAAAAGTGTCTCGATAGGTGTATTGCATCAAATGGGGAATATTTTGAAAGTGACTGGAAGTTTAAACATGTAAGAATAAATACACAATTTTTTATAAGTGAATTCCTGGGTTTTTGGGTCCCCCCTTGCACATACATATGCACTCATATATACACACATGTGTATACATAGAAACACACCTATATACACACACATATCCTTTTTTACATAAAAGGTAGCAAACTCTATACACAGTTTTGCTTTTGTTAAATTGAGTTTGGCCCAAAACTGTCTCCTTACATATTTGGGGTTGATCAAGAGGTTTCTTGGTACTCTTTCACAGGGTGAACTGTAGCTGCAACAGATTGTAACTTATTCTCATGCATCTCATGCAATAACTTAGTTGTTGCCAATCAAAGACAGTCAACTATTCAAACCAGGTTCAAATAAGGCCAACACTGAGCTGTAACCAATATGACTATTTCTGTCCTTCACTTCTGTTTTCTGTTTGTCATTTTTCTTTTCTTTTTTTTGGTCAATAAATCTTTCACCATGTGGTTGCTCTGGAGTTTCTGTGAGCCTACGCTGGTTCAGAAGACTGTGATTCAAAAATCGTTTTTGCTTAATTAAAATCAGCTAAAATCAGTTTGTCTTAGGTTTTTTTCTTTTGATACTTTTTTCACTTAACACTTTCTTCACTTAATAGGGATTACTGCATATCACTGCATGGAGCTTTTATTCATTTCTTTTTATTGGTGTATGGTATTCCATAGCATGGATATATCGTAGTTTATTTAACTAGTTCTGCACTGATAAATATGTTTGAAATCTTTTGGTATTACAAATAATGCTGCAGTGAATAACCTTGTGATTATGTTTCTTTGTTTTTTGAGTTGGAGTCTCACGCTGTTGTCCAGGCTGGAGTGCAGTGGTATGTTCACCGCTACTGCAGCCTCAATCAGCTGGGCTCAGGCGATCTTTCTGCCTCAGCCTCTCGAGTAACTGGAACTACAGGCATGTCATCATGCCCAGCTAATTTTTTTATTTATTGTAGAGACAAGAGCTTGCCAAGTTTCCCAGGCTGGTCTCAAACCCGTGAGCTCAGGCAATCCTTTCGCCTCTGCCTCCCAAGGTGCTGGGATTATAGGTGTGAACTGCTCTGCCTGGCAATTATGATTTATTTTAATTATAATAAGGTGGACATTTGTGTAACCGCCATCTTGGTTACAAAACAGACTGGCAGTCCACAAACCTTCTGCATAACCCTTGCCAAAATATACTCATTCTTTCCTTACCACCCAATGGTGACCTCTCGTTATCTTTTATGATGATCATTTTCTTGCTTTTCTTGATAGTTTTACTGCTGAGTATGCATTGCAAAAACATTGTTGTTTAAGTTTGTCTATTTTGAACTTTAAATAGAATCATAAACCATATACTCTTTTGTGTCTCACTTTTTTGGCTCAAAATTATGAATTGTGAGATTTATCCTTGATGTTGGATGTAGCTATTGCTCATGGATTTGCATTGCTGTGTGATATTGCATTGCATGAATATACTGAAATTTATTTATCCATTCTACTGTTGAATGACATTTGGGTCATTCCCAGTTTGGTGTTATTATGAATTATGGTGATATGAATACTGCTGTTTATGTCTCATGGTGCATGTGTGCGTACATTTCTGTTGGACATTGGTGATTTCTTGGTGGAGGGTATCCCACAACTAGCCTCAAATTTGGTGATACTCTAGTAGGACTCATAAGGCTCAATAACAGGTTATACTAATGATAAGGTTTATTACAGCAAAAGATACAGAGCAAAAACTGCTGTATTGTCTGATGATGGTGAATTTTTATAGTTTGTTTCTCTGAATTATCGTTATTTTATCTTCATTCCTGAAGGCTGTTTCTGCAGGCTATGTCAGCCATTATTTTCTTTCAATACATTCAAGGTACTATTCCACTGTCCTCTACCTTCCATTTTTTTCTTTTGAGAAGTCAGCTGAAATTGAACTGTTGCTACTGTGAAAGTAACTGTCTAATCCCCCCTCTAATTTTCTTTCAGAGTTTTTCCTTGTATTTGGTTTCCAGCATTTGTACCCCGATGTGTCTTTTGGTGATTTATCTTCTTTGGGGATCTGGGGGCTTCTTCAATAAGTCCTTCATCAAATTTGACAAATTATCCGCTACTGTATCATCTGTCCCATTCTCCTCTTCTTCTGAGATTCTTAGTGAAATATATGTTAGACCTTATTATTACTATATTCTCCATAACCTACAGTCTATTTTATATGTTCCATAGTTTTATCTCTCTGTCCTTTATTTGGGAGGACAGAGCTGTTTTCCAGTTCACTAATTCTCTCTTCACTGTACCTAACATGCTATTAAACCTATCCAATGATTACTGATTTTAGGTTATTATGCTGTTTTAGTTTTAGAACTTCATTGTTGTTCTTTTTCAAATCACATATCAATCTGTATAATTTTCAGCTCTGAAGCTTTCAATTTTATCATTTTGTTGACTACATTACGTATAGTTATTTTAAAGTCCGAGTTGGATAAATCTACCACGGGAGCCCCTGTGAGTCAGTCACTATTCTCTGTTGTTTTCTGCCGATTCCATTGGTTCTCTTTTATATTGGCTTCTTTTTTCATGTGCCAGATTACATTTGACAGTGTGCCAAACAATCTGAAAAACTGTTTTTTAAAAATATCGAGACATGGAATGATATTTTCTCTTCTGAGGATTTTTCTTTGCTTCTGCCAGGGATCTGGAACCCTTAGATAACAGGACAACCTGAATACATTTTAAACATTGAGAGTTTCTGGGCCACTCAGTTGACTTAAAACTGGGTTGAAGTTTATACAAGTTATGATTTATTTCTGATTCACTCTGACTTTTAGGATTCAATCCTTTGTAACCCCAACCCAAATAACATGGCCTTACCTTAGCTTCTAACTTCTGTCACCCTGGCTTCACCTCACTGTCAGAAGTACTGGTCACTTCCTTAGGTACCTTCTTTAGAATCAGCAAATTCTACTTGGTTAAAAGAAGCTTTAATTGCTGACCCACCACCTTAAAATTTAGTCTTCTACATCTTGTCTTGGAAAGTTCCTTATTACCTTGTTTGATCTCTGATATATTCAAGCAGATTTTTAAAAAAAATGTGTCATGTTTTCTGCTTTTCTATATTGAAGAGTAGGTTCAGCTTTCCAATTTTCCCATATCAGAAATGTAAGTTTCTTTTTGCTTCTTTTCAAGTTTTTGTGGAATACTCTCTAAAATAGTTTAAAAACCTAGAAGACTAATAGAGGAATTTAGTTGCATATGTCATGAGCAGAATATTAAAAGCGTCATATTCATTATTCCAAAGCATAAAAAAGGAGGAAAGTATTCAAAATTTTTTCATGAAGCAAATATGTCATTGATTCTAAAATCTGACAAAGAGTACATACTCACATATATGAAGACACAACACAGCTTCTGTGAGCTTCGGGAATAACTACCATCTCCTGGAAAGTCATTTAGTTATCCTGGTTTTAGGGTACAATTTCCTTGAATTTGACATTCATATTCTCCATTATAAAAGTAAAATTTAAGTGACATAGGCGTTTATTTCAAGAGATAGACTGGATTAAAGTCTGTAGTTGGATGAAAGTATCACCAAGACTCAAGTGAAGCCATCACCCTGCTAAGAGGGAGAAAGGGGTGTAGGAGTTGAGGCTACCAGACTTGGACTGGGTTCTCTTACTGACCCACCTCTCAATGCTTCTTACCTGTAGGGTAAAATGAATGCTCAAGAAGTGCTTGAGGATTCAGTGAAAGAAGGTTTGTAAGGAGCCTGAGCTTATAAATATTAGTCTGTACTCCTAAATGGACAAAAATTAGAACAATTTCCCCTGAAAACTGGAACAAGACAAGGATGCCCACTCTCACCCCTCCTGTTCAACATAGTATTGGAAGTCCTGGCTCGAGCAATCAGAGAAGAGAAGGCAATCAGGGGTATCCAAATAGGAAAAGAGGAAGTCAAGTTATCTCTCTTTGCAGATGACATGATTGTATACCTTGAAAACCCGAGAGAATCTGTCAAAAACCTCCTTACACTGATAAAGACCTTTGGTAAAGTCTCAGATACAAATAAATGTACAAAAGACAATCGCATTTC